TGGAACACACACATACTAAAACATACACACATACACATACTGAAACATACACATCTACATATACTGAATCATACACACAAATACACCTACTGAAACATACACATACTGAAACATACACTCATACACATACTGAAACACACACACATACACATACTGAAACATACACACACACCGAAACGCACACACAAACACACACTCTACCTTCACCACCTTAACTAAAGTCAGGTACCCGTTCACAGGTGGATCGACTGAAGGTGCCTGGGGGTGCGGACGAGGGAACATTAGGTGAGGAAGCCAGTATACTATCTGTTTATCCTTGGACGAGATGCACTGAGTATACTGTATGTGTGTGTGTGTGTGTGTGTGTGCAGCCGTAAGTGACCAGATTAAAACTGTTGATTTGTTCATATTATTTTTTTATTTATTTATTGTATATTTCATAGAATCGCTTAAATATACAAAGCAATTAATTTATTTTTTGCTGTTATTATTTGTTTAATTTTCAGCAATACTGGTGGTAGTAGTAGTAGTAGGCCTATGTGTGAATGCTTAATTTTTTCGTATTATTATTATTAATATTATTTGTGTTTAGGCTCGTGTTTGCTATTTAGGTTCGTAATCCCTTTTCATTTTCGTCAGATAGTTTAAGTAAACACATAATCAATCTTTCATGTTATTTTCTTTTCAATTTTTGTTCGGTTTTCGTTCCTACTCCGATTATTTAATTTTTAAAACTCCTATTCGTATTTATATTGATTTTTAAGAATCTGTTCGTGTTTTTGGGAGGTAATTTTTAATTCCATTTTTATGGGTAATTTAGGTATTTGTTCATATTTTTGTAAGGGAATTTTAGTATTGCCATTTATTAATTTACTGTTATTTATTTAGCATCTTCTATTTACTTTTATTATTCCATATCTACGTAATAATATAGCTATCTATCTATAGTTGGGTAATATGAGGTCTGCGATTCAGTTTTTTCTTCAAATTTTGTTTATTTTATGTATTTTTTTTTTAATTTACGTATATTATTATTTTTTTTAGAAGAATACGGATATTTTTTTTAATCTGCGATGTTGTTTATTTTATTTTTGTTGTGGTATTTATTTTCCAACATTATTATTACCGTATCATGTTGGCCAAGTAACACGAACGAAATTACTTGCTTATTTTTTTTTCCTCAAGACGATGCATCCCAACAAAACCTAACCTAACCAAGAGACACCAGATTGTTTTTTGGTGGGGAGGGGCGTGGAGGGGGGGGGGGAGTAGATTTAGTTAATTAATTAAAAGAACAGAATTAATTAATGTTTTTTTTTAGTGTATTGAGTATTGTCGTAGTCACTTAAGACCATAATTATACCTGATAAACTCTTGAGAATATCTTTGTGTCGTATCTTAAGTGAGTGAGTCAGTCAGTTGTGTATTTAGGGGAGAAATTTTTTTGGGGGGGAGAATCTGGGGAAATATTTCTTTGTGTTTGTATAATTATCTATCTATCTCTTTTGTTTTTTTATCTTTCGTTTTTTTTTATATTCTCTCTCTCCCTCTTTTTTTTCATTTTCGTCTATTTCTCTTTCGCTTCTCTTTCAATCTCTGTAACCCAGTCTTTTCTCTCTCTCACTTTTTAACATTCTCTTCTATTTCTCTATCCCACCCCGTCTCTCTCTCTCTCTCACAGTCGATTCTCTCTATATCTCTCAGTCTCTCTAACCCAGTCTCCTCTCTCACTCTTTTCTATCTTAGTCTCTCTAACCCAGTCTCCTCTCTCACTCTTTTCTCTCTCTCTCTCTCTCTCTCTCTCTCTACTCACCTCCTGGTACTCCTTCATGGCGGCGTCCTTCGTCAGGTGGTTCTCGACCCGGTGGAGATTTCAACACGGTTCGTCCCCCTCGACACACGACCTGTATAAACTTCACCTCCTCCTCCTATAAGTCATCTTCCCGCACCTTCAACGCCTGTTACTGATGCCTCCAAACACTCCCTGGTGTCTCTCTCACCTCCTTCGTTCCTTTGTTTCCTTTTTTCCTCACCGTTTGATGTCTCAGTATGTCACAATAGGGATTTTTTTATGTCTCACTTCACTAATTCTCATAGGGATCCGGGGACGGTATTTGTTTGGCGCCGATTTTTAGCTTTTGGGGGTTATTTTATCCCTCCTGCGGTTGATTTTGAGGTATTGGAATCATTTTGAGATGGTTAGAAGCACCGAGGTTGTGTATCACGGGGAGATAATGGTAAAACTGAGAGGGGTTTGGTGTGTGGTAGGAGGTGGTAGGGCGGGCGGGCGCTGGGTGATGACTGGCGCCTGGCTGACACACCGGGACCCGCGCACCTCTAGCCACGCCCACCCCTCGCCAAACCTCCTCATCTTGGGTTAAATCCGCCTTGAAATAGTCGACTAATTTTCTCATGGGTTTATTTAAGATAGTTGAAGATTATCTTTGTTTATATACATAGAAGAGAAACCAATAAAGGGAGTTAATTTGTCAAAAGACTTCAAGTCAATAAAGCGTGACGTCACCTTGGACCAATGAGGAAGGAGGAGCTCTTATAGGCGGGGCTTCTCTTCCTGGTAAACTGTTGCCATATGAGACTTTATACTTTAACAAACTTCCCCCCAATAGAAAAAAATAAAATAAATAAAATAACAAAGATTAACAAAATATAAATCATTCACAGACACACAGACGTAAACTATTGGAAGTCGATGGTCATTTGATAATAGCCGGAACTTTCCCCTCCTACGCCGCTTTTACGACTGAGACACAAACACAGAAATACCGGAAGCGATGACACCGCCCCCGCCGACATGTGGCATTGTGGTGGGCGTGGCTTGGGTGATGGCGGTTGTGGGCGTGGCCTGGGTGATGGCGGTTGTGGGCGTGGCCTGGGTGGCGGCTGGAAAGTGGGTCCAGGACACAGTTACTCTAGAATCACGACGGCCGGAGGATGTGAGGGAGATGGGTGTACTGGGGTGTGTTCAGGGTGTATGAGGGTGTACTGGGGTGTGTTCAGGGTGTATGAGGGTGTACTGGGGTGTGTTCAGGGTGTATGAGGGGTGTGTTGAGAGTGTAAGAGAGTGTGTTCAGGGTGTAGAGGGGTGTGTTCAGGGGGTGTATGAGGGTGTGTTCTGGGTGTAGAGGTGTGTTTCAGGGTGTAGAGGGTGTGTTGAGGTGTAGAGAGTGTGTTCAGGGTGTATGAGGGGTGTGTTCAGGGTGTAAGAGGGGTGTGTTCAGGGTGTATGAGGTGTGTTGGTATAAGAAAGTGTTCAGGGTATGTAGAGGGTGTGTTCAGGGTGTATGAGGGTGTGTTGAGAGTGTAAGAGGTATGTTGAGGTGTGTTGAGAGTGTAAGAGAGGTATGTTCAGGGTGTATGAGAATTGTGTTCAGGGTGTGGGGTGTGTTCCAGGGTGTAGAGGGTGTGTTCAGGGTGTAGAGGGTGTGTTCCAGGGGTGTAGAGGGTGTGTGGGGTGTAGAGGGGTGTGTTCAGGGGTGTAGAGGGTGTGTTCAGGTGTAAGAGGTGTGCTGGGGGTTGCTGGGGTGTAAGAGGGTGTGTGTTCAGGGTGTGTGAGGGGTGTGTTCAGGATGTAGAGGTGTGTTCAAGGTGAGGTGTACTGGGGTGTAGAGGTGTGTTCAGGGTGTATGAGGTGTGTTGGGGTGTATGAGGTGTGTTCAGGGTGTATGAGGTGTGTTCAGGGTGTATAAGAGGGTGTAAGAAGGGTGTAAGAGGGTGTGTTCAGGGTGTATGAGGGTGTGTTCAGGGTGTAAGAGGGTGTGTTCAGGGTGTATGAGGGTGTACTGGGGTGTAAGAGGGTGTGTTCAGGGTGTTTTCTAGAGTTAATAATAGGAAATGATATAGTTAGTCATATTCGTTTTCTTTGGTGTTAATGTTAAAGAAAACGTTATCTAAAAGTTTCAGTTTAGCGGTAACTGAGGTATACCTACGTCGGCCATATTATAATACAGTAAGATCCTTTCATTGTTCTTGATAATTTTAAAGCCCAGTTATGTTTTTGATTCCACACACACACACACACCTACCCACACACACACACACACACACACACACACACACACACACACCCACACACACACACACACCTACCCACACACCTACCCACACACACACACCTACCCACACACACACCCACACACACACACACACACACACACACACACACCCACACACACACACACACACACACACACACACACACACACACACCCACACACACACACACACACACACACACACCTACACACACACACACACACCCACACACACACACACACACACACACACACACACACACACACACACACACACACACACCCACACCCTACCCACACACACACCACACCTACCCCACACACACACACACACCCCACACACCTACCCCACACACACACACCCCACACACACACACACCCACACACACCCACACACCTACCCACACACACACACACACACACACACGGTGGTAGATCTATAGAATGGTCTACCTCCTGAGTGTTAATTATCACCATATATCTGTGTTGTAAGTAAGTGAACTCAGGAGATATTTCGTAGTCATACCCGGGAGATATTCTTACAACGCAATGTTTGTCTCATGTAATATTAATACTGCATTGTTGATGGTAATTAGGAGTCACCAGGTTGTTCATATTGTTTACTGTTTACTGTTTATATCTTTATTGTTTAAGTGTTTAAGTACGACGCTATTAATATATTGTTTTCTGTTTACATTGTGGCTGTATTATTGTTTATTATGGGACACATACACATACATTTTGATAACCACTTCCCAGCGGCCAGAGTATAAAAGGTAACATTAACACCTAACCTAACCTAACGCTATAACAACCTGTTCGAAATAATCACCGTCCCTCTACCATTCTTCCTCTTCTCTGTGTGTGTGTGTGTGTGGGTGTGTGTGTGTGTGTGTAGTTTTATTTAAGGTTCTCAGACAAACAATAATTTTAAAAATATAATTATATATTTTTATTAATCGACATTCTATTTTTTCTGAAATTATCGAAAATCACAGAACCACAATTATTAGAGCCTATGTTTAATTAGATCAATAATAATAACAATAACAACAAGAACCATATCAACAACAATAATAATAATAGTAATAGTCTAGTAATAATAATAATAATAATAATAACAGTTTTGTATCTAAATAACCAACAACTTAATACAACCAACAACAACAACAACCAACTACCACAAAGGTCAAGTGTTAAGGTCACCACACCAACAGCCACTTGACTTAATATTTGACCTTGACCTCATCTCTTCCCTAACATACCACACTCATCAATTCTTCTGCCAAGTTAGACACACACACACACACACACACACACACACACACACTAAGTGAAACCAATAACCCTTAAGCTTTGTGTTGATAGTATAGAAGGGGAAATGCATGACAGTTATATGACAGTTACATGACAGTTATATGACAAGGATTTGAGTCAGGGAGCTATAGATTTGAGCCAAGTAGCCATAGATTTGAGCCAAGTAGCCATAGATTTGAGTCAGGGGGCCATAGATTTGAGTCAGGGGGACCATAAATTTGAGTCAGGTGCCATAGATTTTACTCAATGGGCCATATATCTGACTCAAAGGGCCATACATCTGACTCAAAGGGCCATACATCTGACTCAAATGGCCATAGAGTGGAGTCACATATTTAACACTCGTAGGAAGGCTGCTGCTGGCCGTTCATGAAGAAGTCGATGATGGATTCAACACTGGTGATGGTTCCTGCTACGAAGCCGACCAACCCAAACAGGCAGATGAGGGCACCCTGTGGACAGTGACCGGTGTTAGTGGACAGTGACGGGTGTTAGTGGACAGTGACGGGTGTTAGTGGACAGTGACGGGTGTTAGTGGATAGTGACGGGTGTTAGTGGACAGTGACGGGTGTTAGTGGACAGTGACGGGTGTTAGTGGATAGTGACGGGTGTTAGTGGATAGTGACGGGTGTTAGTGGACAGTGACGGGTGTTAGTGGACAGTGACGGGTGTTGGTGGACAGTGACGGGTGTTAGTGGACAGTGACCGGTGTTAGTGGGCAGTGACGGGTGTTAGTGGACAGTGACGGGTGTTAGTGGGCGAGACGGGTGTTAGTGGACAGTGACCGGTGTTAGTGGACAGTGACGGGTGTTAGTGGACAGTGACGGGTGTTAGTGGACAGTGACCGGTGTTAGTGGATAGTACCTTAACCTAACTCAAGTTATGATATGTAAACTTAACCTGAAACATAATTTAACTTATGATAACTTCACTTATTAATAACCATGACCCGATTTAACCTGACATGACTTAACCTGGCCTTAACAATCACCCAAAAGAACAAAAGGACACATATTTAACAATAATTTAACTCAATTTAAATTCACTTAACTTAATAGTAACCGTATTTAACCATGGCTCAATTTAACCTAACATAAACTAACCATGACCCAATTTAACCTAACCTGATTTGATCCTGACCTGACTTGATCCTGACCTGACTTAACCCTGACCTGACTTGACCCTGACCTTGATGATGCGCCAGTTGTATTTCCCTGTATTTGGCCAGAAGGTCACTATTTCGACGATGGGAGGGAAGATGAGGGCCAGGGTGGAACTGCTGACTGCCCCCACCAGAGATATAAACAATCCAATGTTGGGGATGGCTGCTGCTAAGACGACTGTTGGAGAGAGAGTGTTGGAGGTGAGTGGTGGAGGTGAGTGGTGGAGGTGAGTGGTGGAGGTGAGTGGTGGAGGTGAGTGGGGTGGGGAGGTGGGGAGGGATAGGGAGGTGTTGGTTGGGGAGAGAGGATAGGGGGTGTTGGTTAGTGGTAAGGAGGAATGAAGTAAAGGATTTTTTTGTAAGTGAAAGGAGAGAGAGAGAGAGAGAGAGAGAGAGAGAGAGAGAGAGAGAGAGGATGTTTGGAGGAGGATGAAGAGAAGATAGAGAGAGAGAGAGAGAGAGAGAGAGAGAGAGAGAGAGAGAGATCCTTATCTGAAATGGTAAACAAAAATAATTACATATAAATTACGACCCATAACAAAATTACAGACCAATTTTCATCTATCTATCTAACTATCTATCTAACTATCTAACTATCTATCTATCTATCTAACACTCTGGGATGCAGGATTTTTAAGGTTATTTGGTATCATTTAATTTCTGTAGTCGATGTCACCGTAATTGAAGCTCCTCGTGACAAGGTAGATGGCTAGAATTGGGTTTCACTGTGTTATCTATAAAGGCTTGTAAGTTCGGGGATTAAAGTTGGTAAGTTCGTGGAATTTACGTAATTCATCCAAAAATTAATCTCTAATGCCCTTACAGGTCAAGAACACCATGCAGGACCTAAAGATGTACTCGGCCACCATCTTGCCCTTGTGTGTGGTGAACCTCCGCGTCACAGTTGGCCGCAGCACCTCGTAAGGGACGTACATCTGTAGAGGGTATGTCATGTAGACCGCCAAAGCCATTAAGATCTTCACCGTCTGCGATAACCTGTGAGTGAAGATAACTGTGAGTAAGATAACATGGAAAGATCGTACTCTAGGTGTCAAATTATATCATACATGGGGGGGTAACTTGTCGTACTCTAAGGATAAAATTATCATATTTGGAGTAACTGCTTGTACTCTAAGGGAAAATTTATCATATGTGGGGTAATTCATTGTACTCTAGGGGTAAAATTATCGTACTCTGGTGAGGATGAGGAGGATAGGACAGGGTAAAGCTATCATACTCAACATATAACACACACACACACACTTACGGTTCACTAGGTGGTAGGTTGAGAGTGATGGAACCTTGTACAAAACTTCCATATCTGAGGTAACCAAAGAACCCCACGCCTGCGTAGAAACACACCACAATCACCATAGCTGTATTCAACACTCCCGTCCATCCGCCAAAAGCTTGAGGTGTTTTCATCTTGTTTTCCAGTGGTAAAACCTTTTTTTTGGGGGGGGGGGGAGGAAATGGAGACTGGGATGAAAAATGAGAAGAAAATTGCGGTACGATGAGGTAACAATGAAAGAAAATGGGGATTGAAATGAAAATTGAAAAGAAAATGGGGTCTGTCTGCAAAATTAAATCGTCTGGCATTAGCTAAATAAAAGAATAAAAATGGCGTCCCTGTATAGTGAAGGGGTTAAAGGCATATCTGGACATTTCTAACCCTTCCGTAACCAACCCCATGCCCATGAAATCACATCTGGGCATTACACACCTTTATAAACTCTCATCTGGGCATTACTACCCCACTGTACTCACCAATCCAATGCCCTCAAAGGCGTAGATAGCTGAGCCGAAGTATAGAGGGAGGGTGGAAAATCCGGCAAAGGCAGGCAGCTCTTCCTGGACGTGTGGCAGATCTCTCAACATGTAGTAGAAGCAGATGGTGATGCCTATTATCTGGACAGCCCCAGCCATGAGCGACACCGGTGCTAGGTACTGTGTTAGTAAGATGAACTCAGGGTGTTAGTAAGGTGAACTCAGGGTGTTAGTAAGGTGAACTCAGGGTGTTAGTAAGGTGAACTCAGGGTGTTAGTAAGGTGAACTCAGGGTGTTAGTAAGGTGAACTCAGGGTGTTAGTAAGGTGAACTCAGGGTGTTACAAGGTGGTTTTAATACGTTTTCAGCACATAATAAGGAGTACCTACCTTGATGTGAGGAATGTAGAGAGATAACCTACCTTGAGGTTAGGGATGTAACAGATGAGAAGGATTGGTAATATTATAATCCCCATATAACCATATACCGAGATACTGCTCCCGCTCGGTAACATACACTCGATAGCCTGTGGGAAGAAACACCTTTAGAATGGCCTATCCACATTTATCCATTCTCGTTTGTTCATATATACACCTTTTAACCATCGTACTCAAGGGTTAAACCATCGTACTCAAGGGTTAAACCATCGTACTCAAGGGTTAAACCATCGTACTCAAGGGTTAAACCATCGTACTCAAGGGTTAAACCAACGTACTCCTGTGCTGTGGCGATGAGTCTCTTTGTTATCTTGTGGTAGCCTTCGATACATAGAGGCTCCCTATATCAAAGTAAAGCCTCTCGCTGTGTAATAGAGGGTATAAGTATAGCTGGAAGGTATAGCTCATACGTCTGGAGGTATAACTGGGGGCATAACTGGAGGTATAACTGGGAGCATAACGGGAGGAATAACTGGGAGCATAACGGGAGGAATAACTGGGAGCATAACGGGAGGAATAACTCACCTGCATCAGATTTTGGGGGATGAAGACGGCATAGACGCAGCAGAAGCCGACCTGGGTGATGATGAGGAAGGTTGTGATGATGTATCTGACGGTGTTGGCCCACTTACGGCACCCTTCAGGACCCAACCTGAAGGCCGCCTCCGCTGTCTCCTCGTAGCTAAGGGCCGACTTCCCTGCCCGCTTACACAATTCCTTGGAACTCCTTAGCTGTTGGCACCCACCGTATAGTGCCAGGGTGAGCCATGAGTAGTGCCAGATTAAGGGAGAGAAAATATTAACCCTGAGTGGAAAGATGGTTAGGTTAGGTTAGGTTAGCAGCCAATGAACAGGTGTTGAATAAATATCCACTGGGAAATGTGTCTACCTGATATTGATAAAGACTTTGTTATTATTGTCATCTAAGTTTACAAGAGGATAAGGGATCCTCTCTGACCATATTAGTTGTACACGATGGTATTTCAAGGTTAAGTTCATGAGGATTTTATACATGGAGAGAGATAACAAGACATTAAAATATGGCTTATATCTTACCAGCATTTGCATACAGTGGATACAAATGACACCCATAATAGGTATCCCAGCAAACCCGACCCACAGCCCTGCGTTCATAAAGGCTTCAGGCATAGCGAGGAGACCTGTGCCTACGTTCCCCTTCAGTACATGGATCAGCGTCTCGAGGTTCCTGAAATGTGACAGAGACTGAAACACAGATATTGGTGTGGTTGGGTTTGGTTGGGTTAGGTTTGCTTAGGTTAGATTAATCTACGTTTAAATTAGGTTAGGTTAGGTCAACAATAAGGTAATTCTACTTCATATTATCCTCAGTAACTCACGTGGTTGGATGTGGAATGTCCCTTTTCACTGGGACATCACTGGCGTTATTGATGTCCCCTTCTGGTAGGACACTGCTGATGGCTCCTACCTGAGTGTCCCTCTCTTGTAGCGTTGGACCGGCCCACCTGTCCTGTTCCTGTAAGGGGACATGGGGACACTTATTATACTATCTAGGACATGTGGAAACCTCTTACTGCGAGAGAGAGAGAGAGAGAGAGAGAGAGGGGATTGATGTGTCTGTTTATGTGTGTGTATGTGTGTGACCGTGAGAGATAGACAGACAGACAGACAGACAGGCGAGAGAGAAAGAGAGGGAGGAAGGTTCATGTGTTTATGTGTATGTGTGTGTGAGAAAGAGAGATAAGCAGATAGACAGAAACAGACAGACAGACAGACCCTCCCTCCCCCAAATTTAATCACTGTCGTTCATATCTATAAAGGTCAAAAGGTCATATAAGATCACATTAAACTGACCTTTATATCAACAGCAGCAGTAATGACCCCTGGACCTGGCCTGGTGATTGGCTCGTTCTGTAAGGGTGATTAAGGTCATTAGCACACAGGAAAGACTCGTACTCAAATGCGACTCAAGTTCTTGCTTTTTTTTGGGGGTGAACTCGGACGTAAATTTTAAGTCCAGATGAAAATAAGAGAGAGAGAGAGAGAGAGAGAGAGAGAGAGAGAGAGAGAGACTATTTTGTTTTGGCAGTAAATTCAGTCGCAAGTGAATACCTATGGTGGTAGTGACTGTCGAATGGTGGTAGTGACTGTCGAATGGTGGTAGTGACTGACGAATGGTGGTAGTGACTGACGAATGGTGGTAGTGACTGTCGAATGGTGGTAGTGACTGTCGAATGGTGGTAGTGACTGACGAATGGTGGTAGTAACTGACGAATGGTGGTAGTAACTGACGAATGGTGGTAGTAACTGACGAATGGTGGTAGTAACTGACGAATGGTGGTAGTAACTGTCGAATGGTGGTAGTAACTGACGAATGGTGGTAGTGACTGACGAATGGTGGTAGTGACTGGAAGAATGGTGGTGTAACTGACGAATGGTGGTAGTGATCCGACGAATGGTGGTAGTGACTGACGAATGGTGGTAGTAACTGACGAATGGTGGTAGTAACTGACGAATGGTGGTAGAACGACAATGGTGGTAACTGACGAATGGTAGTAACTGACGAATGGTGGTAGTAACTGACGAATGGTGGTAGTGACTGACGAATGGTGGTAGTAACTGACGAATGGTGGTAGTGACTGAAGAATGGTGGTAGTAACCGACGAATGGTGGTAGTGACTGACGAATGGTGGTAGTAACTGACGAATGGTGGTAGTGACTGAAGAATGGTGGTAGTAACTGACGAATGGTGGTAGTGACTGAACGAATGGTGGTAGTGACTGACGAATGGTGGTAGTAACTGACGAATGGTGGTAGTAACTGACGAATGGTGGTAGTAACTGACGAATGGTGGTAGTAACTGACGAATGGTGGTAGTGACTGAAGAATGGTGGTAGTAACTGACGAATGGTGGTAGTGACTGACGAATGGTGGTAGGTGACTGACGAATGGTGGTAGTAACCGACGAATGGTGGTAGTAACCTGACGAATGGTGGTAGTAACCGACGAATGGTAGTAACTGACGAATGGTGGTAGTAACTGACGAATGGTGGTAGTAACTGACGAATGGTGGTAGTGACTGACGAATGGTGGTAGTAACTGACGAATGGTAGTAATCGACGAATGGTGGTAGTAACTGACGAATGGTGGTAGTGACTGACGAATGGTGGTAGTAACTGACGAATGGTGGTAGTAACTGACGAATGGTGGTAGTAACTGACGAATGGTGGTAGTAACTGACGAATGGTGGTAGTGACTGACGAATGGGTGGTGACTGACGAATGGTGGTAGTAACCGACGAATGGTGGTAGTGACTGACGAATGGTGGTAGTACTCGAATGGTGGTAGTAACTGACAGATGGTGGTAGTAACGACGAATGGTGGTAACTGACGAATGGTGGCAGTAACTGTCGATGAATTGATGTGACTGACGAATGGTGGTAGTAACTGTCAGATGGTGGTAGTGACTGACGGATGGTGGTAGTGACTGACAGATGGTGGTAGTAACTGACGAATGGTGGTAGTAACCGTCGAATGGTGGTAGTGCTGACGAATGGTGGTAGTAACTGACAAATGGTAACTGACAAATGGTGGTAGTATGACGAATGGTGGTAGTAACTGACTAACTGACGAATGGTGGTGTGACTGACGAATGGTGGTAGTAACTGACGGATAGTGGTAGTAACTGACGAATGGTGGTAGTAACTGACAGATGGTAGTGACGAATGGTGGTAGTAACTGACGAATGGTGGTAGTAACTGACGAATGGTGGTGATGACTGACAAGATGGTGGAAGTGATGACTGACGATGGTGGTAGTAACTGACGACGATGGTGGTAGTAACTGACCAATGGTGGTAGTAATGACAAATGGTGGTGACTCGAATGGTGGTAGTAACTGACGAATGGGTGGTACTGACGAATGGTGGTAGTAACTGACGAATGGTGGTAGTGACTGACGAATGGTAGTGATAGATGGTGGTAACTATCGAATGGTGTTGACAGATGGTGGTAGTGACTGACGAATGGTGGTAGTAACTGACAAATGGTGGTAGTGACTGACAAATGGTGGTAGTAACTCAGATGGTGGTAGTGAGCAGATGGGTGGTGGTGACTGACGGATGGTGGTAATGACTGACGAATGGTGGTAGTAACTGACGGATGGTGGTCGATGGTGGTGAGTGACTGACAGATGGTGGTGAAGTGACTGACGAATGGTGGTAGTAACTGACGAATGGTGTAGTGACGACGAATGGTGGTGTGACTGACGAATGGTGGTGATGACTGCAAATGGTGGTGGTGACTGACAGATGGTGGTAGTGACTGACCAGATGGTGGTGGTGACTGACGAATGAGGTGGTAGTGACGGAAGGGTGGTTGGTAACTGACGAATGGTGGTGGTGACTGACAGATGGTGGTGGTGACTGACGAATGGGTGGTGACAGATGGTGGTGAATGGTGGTGACTGAATGGTGGTAGTAACTGACGAATGGTGGTAGTGACTGACCAGATGGTGGTATTGGCTGTCGAGGATGGTGGTAGTAACTGACAGATGGTGGGTGATATGATGATCGAATGGTAGTGATGACGAATGGTGGTAGTGACTGATGGGTGGTAGTGAACTGACGAATGGTGGTATGATGACTGACGGATAGTGGTAGTGGACTGACGGATGGTGGTGGTGACTGACGAATGGTGGTAGTGTGACGAATGGTGGTAGTGACTGACGAATGGTGGTGGTATGACGACGAATGGGTAGTGACTGACAAATGGTGGTAGTAACTGAATGGTGGTGGTAACTGACGAATGGTGGTAGTAACTGACGAATGGTGGTAGGAGTGGGCTGTGACAGATGGTGGTAGTGACTGACCAGATGGTGGTAGTAACTGACAGATGGTGGTAGTAACTGACGAATGGGGTAGTAACTTGACGAATGGTGGTAGTGACTGACAGATGGTGGTAGTGACTGACAGATGGTGGTATTACTGACGAAATGGTGGTAGTAACTGACAGATGGTGGTAGTGACTGACGAATGGTGGTAGTGACTGACGAATGGTGGTAAGTTGACCAATGGTGGTAGTAACTGACAGATGGTAGTAATGACAATGGTGGTAGTGACTGTCGAATGGTGGTAGTAACTGACGAATGGTGGTAGTAACTGACAATTAACTGCAGTAATTATGTCTTAAAGTTAAATTTTTTTGAAGTGCGTAGAAGAAAATTGTCCATATATGTCAAGTTTCATCTCCTACGGGTACAACTCGTTATCTCACCGGACTAATATACCGTTGAACAAGAGTTCTTCCTGCAAAGTTTGTTTGTTATGTTTCACTATTTCCAACAGACGTTAACCCAAAATCTCTCTCTCTTTCTCTCTCTCTCTCTCTCTCTCTCTCTCTCTCTCTCTCTCCTCTCTCTCTCTCTCTCTCTCTCCTCTCTCTCTCTCTCTCTCTCTCTCTCTCTCTCTCTATAATTTATCTATACCTGCATCACCCAATCAGCTGTACTTAAGTGTGTGACGTAGAACCAAACCAGGTAACCCACCCCTATATCACTGTCTGTCTGTCTGTCTCTCTGTCTCTGTCTGTCTCTCTGTCTCTGTCTGTCTGTCTGTTTTAGGTGAGATTAATTATTTTTAATGGCTCTAATTTTGTTCCACACTTCTGCTAGACTGGTTGTTTTACTTATCTGTAATTTTTAAAGGGGAAGGTCAAGGGCGATAACTACTGCGTGTGTGTGTGTGTGTGTGTGTGTGTGTGTGTGTCTGATTATCAGTAAGGGTCGCCAACAGAAGGTGGTCGCGTTAAAATCAATTAATTGGCAACACTGCCTACTCTCTCTCTCTCTCTCTCTCTCTCTCTCTCTCTCTCTCTCTCCCAATATCTCTCTCTCTCTCTCTCTCTTCTCTCTCCTCTCTTCACCCCAACAATAAACTCTTTAGTCATCTTCACTCCTCCCTTGAATAACATCATAATTCAATAACCTCCTTGAATACAATAACACATATTAGACTATAACACTTGCTCATGGTCTAATAACACACTCCCATGGTCAATACCTCCCTTGACACAATAACACCTCCCTTAGATAAAATAACACCTCCCTTGAGTACAATACCACCTCCTTGAAGTACTCACCTCCCTTGAGTACACAACTACATCTGTGCTGACCCATCAAATCTGTACTCACCTCCTCTGTGCCTCCATCACCTCCCTTGACTACAATAACACTCCCTTGACTACAATAACACACTCCCTTGACTACTAATACCCCCTTGACTACAATAACACCTCCCAACTACAATAACACCTCCAGAAGGTCCAATAACTCCTTGACTACATACATACTCCTTAAGTACAATAACACTCCTTGACTACAATAACACACTCCTTGAGTACAATTACATAACCACAACTTAAAACACCACCATTATTTTTTAAGATAACCAATTTACACAATCCCATGTTATATAAAGTGTTATCTTACGACCTATAAAACAGCTATCGTGAAATGTTATCTTAGTCGTGATTATCGTCATGATCTCGTTATCATTACCAGAGATTATATGTCACAAAACGATACCCGTCGAGAGATAACACTAACAAGACGGTATCAATCAGTATCTACAGTATATATAAGGAACAGACAGATAGACGAAGATAGAGATAGAGAGATAGACAGAGAAAGATAGAGATAGAGAGATGGACAGAGAAAGATAGAGATAGAGATAGACGGAAAGATGAGAGATGAGATGGACAGAGAAGGATAGAATGAGGGATGAGAAGATAGAGATAGAGATAGACAGAAAGATAGAGAGATAGAGATGGACAGAGAAAGATGAGATAGAGGGATGAAAGATATAGATAGAGATAGACAGAGAGAGATGAGAGATGGAGATGAAAGAGAAAGATGAGAGATGAGAAAGATGAGATGAGAGATGAACAGAGAGATGAGATAGAGAGATAGACAGAGAAAGATGAGAGATGAGAGAGGGATGAGAAAGATGAGAGATAGAGATGAACAGAGAGAAGATGAGATAGAGATAGACGAGAAGATGAGATGAGAGAGATGAGATGGGATAGACAGAGAGATAGAGATGAGAGATAGACAGAAGATAGAGATGAGATAGACAGAAAGATGAGATGAGATGGACGAAGATAGAGAGAGGGATAGAGAAGATGAGATGAGATAGACAGAGAAAGATAGAAGTAGAGATAGACGGAAAGATAGAGATAGAGAGAGGGATGAAGATAGAGAGATGAGGGATAGAAAGATAGAGATAGAGAGATAGACAGAGAAAGATAGAGATAGAGAGATGGACAGAGAAAGATAGAGATAGAGAGATAGAAAGATAGAGATAGAGAGATGGACAGAGAAAGATAGAGATAGAGAGATAGACAGAGATAGAGATAGAGATAGACAGAGAAAGATAGAGATAGAGAGATAGAGAAAGATAGAGATAGAGAGAAGACAGAGATAGAGATAGAGAGATGGACAGAGAAAGATAAATAGACAGTCACAGAAGACAGATAGACAGACATATCCTATATTTGTTCTGATAGACAAGGTAATTTACATATGTGCACAGATACGTTCACAGATACGTTCATACACACAGATACGTTACAGGACGTTTCATACACAGGCCTAGATCGTTCATACACTGGATTCACAGGACGTTCATACACACAGATACGTTCACAGGGACGTTCTTACACACACACTCAGAGACGTTCATACACCAGATACGTAGGGACGTTCATACACACAGGTACACTCACAGATACGTTCCTACACACAGATGCGTTCACAGGGACGTTCATACACAGCAGATACGTTCACAGGGACGTTCATACACGCAGATACGTTCACAGGACGTTCTACACAGATACGTTCACAGGACGTTCATTACACAGGTACACTCACAGATACGTCCTAACAGGTCGTCAGGGACGTTCATACACACAGATACGTTCACAGGGACGTTCATACACACAGGTACACTCACAGATTCGTTCATACACACACAGATACGTTCACAGGTACGTTCATACACACAGATACGTTCACAGGGACGTTCATACACACAGGTACACTCACAGATACGTTCATACACACAGATACGTTTACAGGGACGTTCATACACGCAGATACGTTCACAGGGACGTTCATACACACAGATACGTTCACAGGGACGTTCATACACACAGATACGTTCACAGGGACGTTCATACACACAGGTACACTCACAGATACGTTCATACACACAGATACGTTCACAGGGACGTTCATACACGCAGATACGTTCACAGGGACGTTCATACACGCAGATACGTTCACAGGGACGTTCATACACACAGACACGTTCACAGGGACGTTCATACACACAGGTACACTCACAGATACGTTCATACACACAGATACGTTCACAGAGACGTTCATACACACAGACAAACACAGAAACACCTACTAACCTTTGGCTCCATGTTATTGCTGGGGCGAGGTATAATAAGTTCTTTTGATGCCTCTCCTCTTCAGAGCTGAGCCTTGATAGTGGATCGTGTGTCTCTCCTTCTGGTTTATGGGTGGGAGCTGGGTTACGAGTTTTGCTGACAGCCTCAAGATATACGAGTGATGTGCTGAGAGGCTTTTTGTAGTGTTGAGATGCACTGGGATGATTTCTGTAGCCTCAAAGATGTACTGGGAGGCTTTCTGTAGTTTAATTTTATACTTGAAAGTCTTTCGTTAATAGCTTTCATCTCTCTTGGGGTCTGAGCTCACACGGGGATTCATTCTTCAGCTTCTATTAATACGTGAGATAATTTGTATAGTCTTGTATAGTGGTTTAGTGAGTGTGGGATTCATGCTATATAACACTTGGAATGATTTCTGTTTTGTTTTTACACTGAAATTAATTAAGAAAGTTTGTGACGTTTACCTTGATCTGTCTGTGTGAAAGAAGAGTTTTTTGACCTTGAGATTCTACGGTCAATAGAGACTGCGTTGAATGTGGCTGATTGGTGACCGATTTTGCCCTTCTCATTGGTCTTCCAGTACTCGGGATGGTTTGTTTCTACGTCCAGTGGAGATGAAACTTGACAGACTTCCACTATTAGGTCTTGGAATCTACCTTCTAACTCTATATTTAATTACAGTTAGATATTATTAATGTTATCTTGTAAGAGTCCTCCTCCTCCTCCCCATTTCTCCGTCATGAATTCAACACAGTTTCGATCGATTTCTTTGCTATCTATACTCAAATGCTGTGACGACTTTCAGACTCGGAATTTCTTATAGGATCGCCAGTACGGACGAAGGTATGGACGTCAGTGAGAGAAGAACGCAGAAGGAGAATCAACGGGAGAAATATAGGGAAGTCGACGGCCTCACTGATGGGAAAGGAAGAGTGACTAGAGCTCTCCCAGTACTGATGGAATGAGTCGGTATGCTGTGAACCCTTGGGCTATCTATCAGCCTCCTCTTACCCCCCTCAACTGCTATTACACAAACCACTGATTGAGTAAATAAGATAATTCAGATAACACGATCAGATTGTTCCACACTTTCTATGATGATTGACTCCTCCCAATTATCAAGGAGGGAAGGGGAGAACGAGAGGGTTACAAGATAGCCTCCACTAACATCAGTAGAGGCAAAATGGGGGACTCTCTTTTTTTAATTCCCCACAGAGGAGACCCCGTGTACTTTGCCCTGAAAATGAACTGACGGATTGACACACTCTACAGGGGAGGAGGTTTCAAAGGCATTGTATTGGTGTGTGTCATAATGTTTGTGTTCCCTGATAATAATTAGATTGATACCTGTAAATATTCGGTAAAAATTCACCATGGAAGTTTACATTGAATCATCTTGTATATAGACCCTGCAGGTATACACATAGAGAGAACAGGTATATACAAATCACATAGAGAGACAATACAGGTATACAAATAGATTTACGCAATACAGGTAGGTAGTCATACACAAGTACATAGACGCTTCAGATAAACAAAGGGTGCGAAACAGTTAGTCACTTGAAGTAAGTAGAACCTAGAAGACCCTCACAAGGTTATTTCCCAGTAAGGTAGTCAGATGAACCCATTAGTGTCTCGTTGGTACCGTACTGTTGTTACCATATGTGTGTATAGAGGGTTTGTGATGCGCTAAAAAATATGCATCAAGGGGTACTGTGGAGTGTGTGGGTGTGTGTGTGTGTGTTTTATCTCTTTTGACGACATCACTATCAATGACATTGCAACAGCAAAACACACACACACACACACAGTCACTTGCACCATATATTGCGGAATCTTCCACCACAGGAAAGAGCCATCAGTGTACTGTAGATTTGCACAATTCACTTAGCCTTTGCCCTCGATAGGGTTGGTAAGCATGAATGGGACGTCATCACCATTATCCCTCTTACAAAATAGTCAAATCACATTACGAAACTTAGGATTAAACACAAAAAAATGAATTATGTCAAGTAAGTGGATTAGTGTCACTTGGTAGTTCCATATATTCTCGTCACAAGGACAGAGGGGGGTAGGGGTGCCATGTTAAGTCAGATGCAACACTAATCGCCAGTTTATCGTAATGTTGACCACGAAAGGGGCAAATTGTTTGACTTTACATGTAACTTGCTCTGCTGTTCCATTGTAAAACTAGTGTTATAAAGTCAAATAATATGGTAATTACTCCACAAAATAACAGGATATGATTTAGGCATGAAAAAAAATACAGTACTCTTTAATACAGATTTTGTTAATTAATGAATACTGAGGTGAATAATATTAGAAAGGGGAAAATGCTTAATAGCTAAGTTATGACTATTCCTACCCTGTCAATCACTACCCCACGTACAGGGCTAAGAATCAGAGGGAAAAACATGGCATTAAAAACATCATTAGAAGAATCGATTTTGCTTGGGAGATTGGTATCCCCCTCCCACCCCACCACCCCTCCCCCAGCAGACAGCCACGCTTATCCACTGCAGTACACCCTGAGATAACACACACGCACACACACGCACACACACACCACTTCCATGCAGCAGGACACCACTCCTCCCTCGACCTACTGACGGAGGCACGATGCTCGTCACCTGCAGGCTGGCTAGATATTTTATGGGTATATTGATGTTATTTTCAGGGAATGACTTTCCTTCCTTAGGGTTTAGTAAGTCTCTTGTATTACACTATTTAATTTATATACTGTATATAGTTGAGACTCCCGCCAGAAGCTTCTAGTAACATTGTCCAGAGTTATCTAGAGTGACAGGATACTAGGATCTCGTTACCGTTTCTTATAATAAACTGTTGAATTAAAAAAAAATAGATGAATAATTAAGGTAAAAGAGGAAAGACCAAAAAAATACCGACTAGAATATTCATCAAGCAGATCATTATGACGGGACCTTTTATCTGTCTCTATATCCTCATCAACAGGTGGTGATGGGGTGCCTCTGCAGCAAGTGGTAAGTAATTGTTCTTTGATATTTGTGATTAATGCTTCCTATAATATCTTTAAATTAATAAACTACTGTTCCAATTAAGGTAGTAGGCAGGTTATTATTTTACTTTCGGACATAGTGCCCTGGAAAGTTATAAACTACTGAAACATTTAGACCTCGCATTCTGAGCCCCATATATACCAGGCAGAAATGGGTAATAGCGACACAATTGAATTCTAATTGATTTTAAGTTGTTTTCAGTCTTCGTCTAGATGTTATCTGCATCACGCATGCGCAATGTTGACTGACGTCATCCAGTCAGACCAAGGGAGGAATATCATCAACGAATTTTTTCTAACCAATCATACTTCACTCAATTGTTTATTCCTTGATAGTACACACATTTTAATTTATTTTTTCAAAGGAAGCAGCCTGTAATTTCATTGACCAGTCCACAATGGCCGTGTGGAGGTTGGTTGTCATTTGTGCTCCTACGAGTATTTTTTAAGTTTAGTGCCGAGTTTTGTGAGAAAGACAATCAATTCTATCCAATTCTTACATATTCTGGTCCTCCAACTCTAACCAACGTATTGTACTTTCGAACACACATGGCGCCCCAAAGTTTTTTAACTATCGAAACATTTAGATTAGTTTGCTTTCACCTACCGTGGTGGGGGCGTCCCCGGCTAGGGGTCAAGTTAGGCCCACTGGAGGTCCGGGGTCAAAAGCCCCCGGCTATAAGTTAGTTTAGTCTTTGCTATGTCAGATGACCTGTTTGCCTTTCCCCACCAAAAACCCCGATTTCCCAGGGGTAAGAAAAACTAGCACGTCCGCTAGAAATACGACTGATTCGTTGAAAACACATCAAAAGACACACTGGAAAACATATTGGCCAACCCTAGGGACCCAATGTCCTAAGTAAAATTCTACCGTAGGCAGCTACTAAAACAGAGGTACGCCACAAACGTTTGTAGGGGAGGAAACTACCAGGAACTGCCTGGGAAGATATTGAAGCATAATGTTATATAATGGTAGACCTTGCTGCCATATGTGACCAAGTCCCAGGTTGGTGATCTGACTTTCTGCCTTCTTTTACACACAATTGTAGGTCTCAATTGTTTTCTTACAATGACAAAAAACAAACATACATATAATATTTCACTCTTATTTATTCTTTATATTTTTAATTATAACATTATTATTATTTACCCAAAATAATATTTTATTATTTTATTTTCAATTGTATAATTTTTCTTATAAATTCTATGCACTATAAACAATATTATTATTATTATTAGTAGTAGTATTACATTTTCGCCCCCACCCAGAGATCAGTACCTTTGCCCGGTGGTTGTCCCCTACTAAAAAAAAAAACAAATAGTCTGACAACACAATTTTGTCTTTAGTCGTGTCTTATTTATAGTTTTGTTCTTTTTATAATTGTTTATAAAGTTTTCTTTGCCAGCATTAATCTGTCTTATTTTCTTAAATCAATGATAAACCAACATTTCAGCTTCTCTCAACATTTACCTTTTTATAACCACGAAGAAGAGCACCACCATGCGTGACGTCGCCATTTGTTGTGTTTGCTGGTGATCTGCCTCTGTAAGTACATAAATAGACCTAAACTAAACCAAGCCCTCCCCCAAATAATGTAAGGTGGGTTAATCTATAGGTGAATAAGCTGGGGTGATATTTTTGTGATAGTCGAGAGATTGCTATGGAGGAAGGATATAATAAAACACAACAGTCTACAGTAAATACGTAATCAACGGAAGTACAACATT